TTACTGTATATCTGGCTGCTCATTCTCATCCTTCTCTTCTGCTGCCAGAGGAATGTGCAAATGACGGGATGCGTTTCATTAATGATATTACACAAATGTTCACAAGCTGAGGGCGTGCAGGGAAATAACAGACCCACCACAACGGAATGTGCGGCGTTTTTTTAAAATATTGTCTTTATTTATAACGGTCAGCGCTCAATAATATTAATAATCATTCTTTAAATGTTTTTTGATTTTGCTTTAGAGTCGGTGAAATATGACACATTGTATATTAATATTCTGTATTCTCATTTTCAGCCAGCAGGGGGAGACGTAGACTCCATTTCCTTTTTCAGCATCCAGCGCAGCGACACCCTTTCATTTTTGCCACTTTGTTGGTGTTTTACCGTTTTCGATAATAAAAATGGAACTTGCCGCCAATATTATTAAATGGAGAGGGATCATAAGGCCTTTATTGTTTTCCCAGAATGGCAGCAACCCTGAGGCCTCGTTCACACCAGATGCAGTGCGTTCCGGCCCGATTGTGGCCAGAACGTGCTGCCTCGCATTGCGGCCGGCTCACTTTTTTTGTGGGGCAGGAGGGGGCGTGGCGGCCATCACACATGGGCCGGAACGCACTGCATCTGGTGTGAACGAGGCCTCATATAAGTGCAGTTTGGTGCTAAATGTCTTTAAAAGACTATAAGTCCCAATATACAGCAACAGGATCATTATTCAGAACATCTCCACCATTTATCACTAAAAAGTCATCCTTGATCTCCAGTCAGTGACTTTTCCTAGGCCGAGATGATGTCATCAGCCTGCTGCAGGCAGGAGGAAGCAATTCCTTCCTTTGTTCATCTCCGAGCTGGTATCTCAGTCTAAGGCTGGGCACACACCTTACAACCATCGCAAGACTTTTGTCTTGCGATGGTTGTAAGGTACTTAAAAAAACGTACGATTTGCCTATCTTGCATAGGCAGATCGTACTTGCGACGATCGCAAGCCACGCCCCCTGAGGGGCGGGCTTCCGATGACCGCAATGCCAAACGGGCAGTGTGCGCTTGCGCACACCGGCCCGTACGGCTGTTATCGTACGGACATGCCACACACCCGCCGAACGTCGTACGATGCTCGGCGGGTTTTCGAACAAGTCCGTAAGTTCAGAGTCGTGCGACCTTGCAGTAGTAGAGGTCGCACGGCTTCCACACACCTTACGATAATCGTACGATTTCCCGCGATTATCGTAGATTATCGTAAGGTGTGTGGGGACCTTAAGAAGTAGATGGTGACCCGGCATGATGGCTGAACAAAGCGGGTGCCGTCCTTCTGGAGAGAAAAGCAGATGAAGGCATTGCCAGGGGGAGTCCTGTGATCTCTATGAGAGGATATAATCACCTGGAAGTGTTACAGGGACACATTACTGGCCATGAATAGACTTACCATAAAAGATATCAGATGACAGGTCCACTTTAAGTCATAGAATATAATATGGCATTAGAAGCAGTTTCCGGCTGGAGTACATTATGCCTATGGCCACATGCAGAGGGGGCATCGAGGTGTGAATACCAGAGACCACCCACAGACCCATTTCACAAAACGTCAATCATGTTTGTCATTTTGTACCTCTTCGCATTAATCTGATGCTAGCTCCGCCTTCATTGTGTGCATTACACCTGTTATAATAAAATCAGCCGGCAGACACAGCTCATCCATTATAAAAGCAGCATTTTATTTGTGGAAAAAAAAAGTCATGTGATCGAAAGAAGACACAGATGAGAGTGATAAACGCTGAAGAAGTGAAAGGAGAGAACCAGCCGGAACTTATTATATCTGTATTACGATCCCGGGACTCGCCGCGCCATTCCCCATCGGTGGTAAAACGTATAAAGTGCTGAATAGACAACAGATAATAAAGTGCAGATGTTACAGAAACAGAGAACAGATAGACCTCGAGGGAGCCCGAGACATAAGTTCCACGTTATTCTACTGAAAAGATCTTTTCATAACATTTGTGGATAAATGTATCAGATAAAAAATAGATATTTGTGATAAACGTCGTAAAGGGATCCCATTGAAGAATACAGCCAACTGCTCCCTATGGCCTGCAATGGCTACAAAATAACAATGTGCGCAATACAATGTGTACAATATGGATACTGTGACATGCAGATCTGGGCGGACTTTTATTTCTTTTACAAAAAATAACTTGTATTGGCTTTTATTGACTTTTTTAGTGTATTTAGTGGCATGGGAAGGCACATAGACGAGACATAGATGGCTCATAGATGGCACATGGTTGTACATAGATGGCTCATAGATGGCACATGGTTGTACATAGATGGCTCATAGATGGCACATGGTTGTACATAGATGGCTCATAGTTGTACATAGATGGCACATGGTTGTACATAGATGGCTCATAGATGGTACATGGTGGTTCATAGATGGCACATGGTTGTACATAGATGGCACATAGATGGTACATATATGAGACATAGATGGTACATATATGAGACATAGATGGCTCATAGATGGCACATGGTAGTACATAGATGGCACATGGGGTACATAGATGGCTCATAGATGGCACATGGGGGTACATAGATGGCTCATAGATGGCACATGGGGGTACATAGATGGCTCATAGATGGCACATGGGGGTACATAGATGCTTTGTCGCCCTGATGTCACCCTGTCTAATCCGCACACTCTGAGATCTTCATGGGTGGGAACGCTAATTGCGTCCAATCATCTTATTTCCCTCTGGTACGCCCCCCGAAGTATCTACTGTAGGCGGCGGTGTAGCCGTGATGCAGGGCGTAGCGGTCGCAGGGTTTGTAGTCCTCACAGACTTCACGCTGGCGTTCCTGGGGGCTCTTGTTGCGCTCACGGATTCTAATAGAGAACAAAAGATAATTCATGAATTGGGGTTAAAGAAGAACAATGGGGTTAGGGCTTTTCACCATAGTTCTCCTTAGGGTAACGGTAGGGTAGCGGTATACTGAGATGCCGCAGCTGAAGCGGATCCCGAAAATTATGTCTGGATCCACCCAGCTGCGTGAGTGACAGCTGGCTCTGCCTATCTAGAGGCAGAGCCAGCTGTACCCGCCCCCTCCCCCGTCCGTTCCGCCAGTCAGCGCTGGAGGATCGGAGCGGGGAGGGGGGAATCCAGTCCCTCCCCTGTCACGGCAGAGAGCTGTGACAGGATCGAGAAATATGCGAACGCCGGTATGTGTCCGCTCACCTCCCGACCTACTGAGCCGACCTGTGACAGTCTCATTGTAACAGGTCGGCTAGAACTATGAGGAGGAGTGAAAAGCACCCGCCTCATAGTTCTCCTTTAAGGACTCTCTCCCAACCCATGTGACATCGCCGGGTGCTGAGCATTCACTGAGCTCCCAAAAATGTTTTATATAGGTATTCATTCTTACCTTTCATTCATTTTTGAGGTCCTGTGCTGGCTGCTCATGAAGGTGTTTGCAGTTCTGGAGCTAACAAAGGGGTCTGCGGAGAAACAGTAGTATCAGATACTGTATATGACATTGTACAATCTATAGATAACATTGTATCAGATGTACGACATTTTACAATCTATAGATAACATAGTGTCAGATGTATGGCATTGTACAATCTATAGATAACATTGTATCAGATGTATGGCATTGTACAATCTATAGATAACAGTGTCAGATGTACGACATTGTACAATCCATAGATAACATAGTGTCAGATGTATGGCATTGTACAATCCATAGATAACATAGTGTCAGATGTATGGCATTGTACAATCTATAGATAACATAGTGTCAGATGTACGGCATTGTACAATCTATAGATAACATAGTGTCAGATGTATGGCATTGTACAATCTATAGATAACATAGTGTCAGATGTACGGCATTGTACAATCTATAGATAACATAGTGTCAGATGTATGGCATTGTACAATCCATAGATAACATAGTGTCAGATGTACGGCATTGTACAATCTATAGATAACAGTGTCAGATGTATGGCATTGTACAATCTATAGATAACATAGTGTCAGATGCATGGCATTGTACAATCTATAGATAACATTGTCAGATGTACGGCATTGTACAATCTATAGATAACATAGTGTCAGATGCACAGCATTGTACAATCAGAATTAATTCTGCAAGCAAAGGCCAGTGGCATGCTGTTCTCTTAAAGGCACAGTCCACCTTTTAGACCATGTTTCAAGTTATGCTCATATTTAGAGTATGATATAAAGCATGATCACTCACCATCCCTAAAACCCAAATCACCTTTCTCCCCCTTTACCTAAATCACAGGTTGTCTCTTGGGTAATAATATATGAAGCTTTATGTTTTTATCTGAGTATAGCATGGCTGTGAGTGAGTCTGCCCACACAGCCACATCACCCAGATCCAGGATCGCTCCTATTGAATGACTACATGTCCCAGCCGCTCGGCGACAAAGGGACTATAGAGAGCAAGCTGGAAATCCTTCCTCCCTCCCCCCGCTCTGTAGTTCAATACCATGCTTCCTCTAGCAGGTCCGTACCTCCATACAAAATTAAACTGAAAGGGAAACATTGTAAGAGCCTTTGGCTGCAATGCTCTGCAGGTATTGATCATTGGATCCAGGTTGTTGCATTTACTATTTTTTACTGAGTCTTTTGAAGGCTCTTGTGCAGGGGTGGGCATCTCTAGCCTTCCAGCTGTTGTGGAACTACAAGTCCCATGAGGCATTGCAAGACTGACGATTACAGACATGACTCCCAGAGGCAAAGGTATGTTGGGATGTGCAGTTAAAGCACAGCTGGAGGGCCGGAGCTGCCCACCCCCTGCTGTTGGGAGATCTCCTGGCAATAATTCCCGACTTGGTTTGGTCTATCTCCAAGTTTTGGGGGAGAGATTGCTCAGACCTCGGGAACTCTGCACACAAATCTCACCAACAGAATGTCCAAGAGATAGACTGTGCCAACACTGTGACCAGGGGGCCCTGGAAGATGCGGTCCACTTCCTGCTACAGTGCCCCAAGTACTCAGCACTGAGGGACACTCACTTCCAGAGACTCTCTGCTCTCATCCCGGACTTCACCTCCATAAACGAGAAGAGGAGACTCCACATTGTACTGGGAGAAGGGGAGACTACGCATTTTACTGGGAGAAGGGGAGACTACGCATTGTACTGGGAGAAGAGGAGCCAACAGTTACCATATCTGCACAATGTGTAACAAAATGTCACCGACTGAGAGATGCTGACTTATAAATCTCCAACTTGGACTCATCCTCACCCCCTTTTATATTATCCCCTACCCCTGATAATGTCCCCGGACTTACCTACGCCCCCCCATATGCTTTGGCAGAAAGTTGTGTTAGATATTTTTACATCTCCCTTCAAGCAACGATTCTGTCCAAAATCCCCCATCTGGGGAGCAGATAAAGGCGACGCTCAGTCATTCCAGAGACTTCTGGGTTACATAACATGATTAAACAAAGAACTTACTGTAACTTTCATTAGACTCGAGAAAAAAAACTTACAATCATAAAAAAAAATTTCTTGATGATTATTGTGCTAATTTTATTCATTTCTATTTTCAATCTTAACTTACATGTTCTTGTTAAAAAATAGTTTAATAACTGTGGACAAAAAATATGGCAAGTGTAAATTTAAATAAATAAGTATCACCTGCTGGGAGAACGAGATCTTATTTTATTTATCTGAAAATGTTTCCTAATGCAAAATATACATTTACATTTTTTTGCTACATTATATAGAATATTTCAGGGCGAAGATATCTCCAGCTGAGGAAACAGAGAAAAAAATTTTCTCTGGAAAAGTCATCAACAACATCATTCAGCGGAGTGCTCCGGCGAGCTTTGATTTGGCTCCACTTTTATTATTATTCCAAATATTTCTAGCTTGCGGTATTTTCATATATTGAATGTGATCGAGGAAGCATTTGATCTCAGCGGACTTGTTTATGTCTGAGCACTTAAAGGAAAATTATGAGGTGAATGATTTTCACAATGAAACTGTCACAGGTCGGCTTAATAGATCGGGAAGTGAGCGAACACATACCGGCGCTCGCTCACTTCTCGATCTATACCTGCAGAGAGCTGTGACTGTCACTCATGACTCCCTGCAGGGATTCCCCCCCTCCCCGCTCTGATCCCCC